CCCCCCCAGGTGAGGGGCTCAGCTTCTTGAGCAGCATGCACGTAGAACTCGGGGCTTCCCCGGAACAGACTGAATGAACATACTGAACCGGTCTGTTTCAGCTGGAAAGCACATGGCCGCCTTAGCGATCACCTTTCCTCTCTGTATTGTTCTACAGCAGGTATTGGGAGTGAGTCCCAGGGGCGTTCCGGGGGGCTTTCATGTGTGGCTCTCCCCCTTGGAAAGGACATGAAAAGGAAAGCAGCTCAGTATAATAGAGAGAGTCCGGGAAGAAAGGCAGAGAGGGGCCATGCATGCGCATTGCTTTCCAGCACCTTTGAAGCTGGCCCGGGTGGCAGAAGCTGCTGCGCTATGTGCACTTGTCTGCCAGCAGGTGTTAGCTTTTTTCTGTTTAGTCACTAGGGTGGTAAACCTTATACTCTGCAGTTGGTGTCAGACAAGCTTTTAGAAGTTGGGAGAGTGGTCGAAAAAGAACAGAGGCGTCTCCTGAATTCTGACGTTTAAAAAAGAAATGCTCGCTTTAGAAAGAAGCCAAAATACACATTTTTACATAATGTTACTTCATGGGAGGCAGTATGATGTGCTAGATAGGGAATTGTACTTAGAGGCAGGAAGACTTGAGTTCAAATCCTGACTCGGGCACTTACTGGCTGTGTGACCCTTAACCTCTCTGTGCCGCAGTTTCCTCATCTATAAAACAAGAGCAGCTCTGGATCTGTGATCTCACATAATAGTTCCTGATGTGCATTTGGTAGGGGAAGTTTCCTGTCCAGGAGCCCCCAACACACATACCAGTGAACTCATGTATCTAAATGTTCCTACCCCCCCCCCCCCACTTCCCTTTTTTTCGTTTTTTTTTTCTTCCTTTGTATTTCTTAGGAATTCTTAGGACTACTTATTTTAATGTCTAAAGTTGAGGGGAGATCAAATTCTCCAAGCAGGGGGGAGGGGCCACGACATCCCCTATCACCATAACCTAGGAATAAATGCTGCAGCTCCCCTAAACAGCCTGACAAGACCTGACATGATGTCTGCAGAGACTGGCAAGCTTTCCTTGAGTGAAATGAACTGTGAAAGATTAGCTTGGTTGTAAACTCAGAGACCTTCAAGCCCGAACCAGTGAGATGCTCCATGAAACACATTCTCGAGCCACCCCCCGCCACCACTCGGCCTGGAAATGAGAGAAGTGTGGAAGAGTTCAGGCAAGCTCAGCTGTGGCCTTTCCCTCACGTTGAACTGGAGGTTGGCTGTGGAGTGGGTTCCCAGTGGTCCAGCCTGATTTCCTGCTCACAGCATGGCCCTGTCACAGTAATGCAGCTTTCTGGGAGGGGCCTTTCCTCCAGGACTGGGCTCTGCGTACACCCAGCCATTCATCTCAGACCCCAACAATTCAGTTACAGCCTTTTAGAGTTTTTTCTGTTTTATCGTCAACTTAAATATCAACAGACTGAAAAGAGGATCATCTGTGATTGTGTGAACTTCAGTCCTGTAGGTTTTAAAGATGTAGATTAAATTTAACGCAGTAATAACAGCCCTGCCCTGTTTATCTGGCTCCCTTCTTTGAGCTTTCTTAGCAGCATTTTTACATGTTTTCTTGACTCCCTTTTCTTTCTTTCCTTCTTTTTTTTAAAATTAATTAGTTTATTTTTAGTTTTCAACAATCACTTCTAAAAGCTTTTGAGTTTTAAATTTTTTTCCCACCTCCCTCCCCATCTTTCCTTCTTTATTTGTGTCACTGTCACCATCCACAAAGTCCTCCTTACATGCCCCCCCTTCCCCTCCACCTGCATCTTCAAATTACGTTTCTCCTTTGGCTTTACACTCTGTGCCCCATTCACAAAAATAATAAAAAGTGATTGGTTAGCCTCTATACCCTGTGAGTTAATTCTATCTTTTCAACAAAATTTCCTTCCTTATTTCTTTATTTCTTTAAAGGTGCCATTACGTCATTAGTTACTCAGACTCAAAACCTTAAAGTTATTTTTGATTCTTCCTTCTTCATTATACTCTGCTTTCAGTTCCCCCCTGGCAATTCTATTTCTTTTTTATTTTATTCTTCAGTTTTCAACATTCACTTTTATAAGATTTTGAGTTTCAGATTTTTTTCTCCCTCCCCAAGAGGGCATACAATCTGATATAGGCTATACATGTACAATCATATTAAACATATTTACACATTAGCCACGTTGTGAAAGAAGAATCAGAACAAAAGGGGAAAACCATGAGAAAGAAAAAACAACCAAAAAAGAGAAAATAATATGCTTTGATCTGCAGTCAGACTCCATCAGATCTTTCTCTGGATGTGTATAGCATTTTCCAACATGAGTCTTTTGGAATCGTCTTAGCTCATTGCATTGCTGAGAAAAGCTGAGTCTATCAAAGTCAGTCATCGGACAATGTGGCTGTTACTGTGTACAACGTTCTCCTGGTTCTACTCACTTCACTCAGTATCGGTCCATACAAGTCTTTCCAGATTTTTCTGAAGTCCTCCTGCTCGTCATTTTTTTTCTTTTTTTCTCATCATTTCTTATAGCACAATAGTATTCCATTACATTCATATACCACAACTTGTTCAGCCGTCCCCCAATTGATGGGCATCCCCTCAATTTCCACTGCTTTGCTACCACAAAAAGAGGTGCTTCAGTAAGCATTTTTAAGTACCTGCTATGTGCTAGGCAGTGTGCTAAGTGCTGGGTGTACCAAAAAAGACCAAAGACAGTCCATGCTCCCAAGGAGCTCCCAGGATAATGGGGGAGATCACATGCAAACAGCCCTATACGAACAAGTCACATAAAGGATAAAATGGAGATAATCAGCAGGGAGAGGGGGTTGGGAAGGGCGGCGGTTCTTAGCTGAGACTTGAAGTCAGGGAATCCAGGAGACAGTGATGAGGAGGGATCAAATTTCAGGCATGGGGGAGAACCAGAGAAAATTCCAGTGTCAGGACATGGGGCGTCACATTCCAGGAACAGTAGGGGGGCCGTTGCACTGGTCCATAGGTGGGGGTAAGAAGACTGGGAAAGTGGGAGGGGGCAGGCTGAAGAGAGCTTTGAATGCCAAAGAAAGGATTTTGTATTTGATCCTGGAGGATAGGAAGTCCCTGGAACTTTCTGATCCCTCTGTCTCCACTAGCTGGCTGCCGTCCCACCTGCAGGGAATTGAGGACAAAAGAGTTGATTGACAACATCCGAAGCCACAGAGGGGTCAGAAAGGATGAGGTGACATGGCCAGACCTGTCCTTTAGAAATGCCACTTGGACAGCTGAGAGGAGAATAGACTGGGGCAGGAGACCCTGGAGGCAGGGAAATCAGCCAGCAGACCATTGAGGCAGTCCAGGTGTGAGGCAATGCGTGACCTGCCCTAGGGTGGTTGAAGGGTCAGTGGAGGGAAGGGAGCATATATGAGAGTTTCCATGGGTGAGATTGGAAGGGCTTTGCAACAGGTCATGTATGGGGAGGTGAGAGAGAGTGAGGAGGTAAGAATGTCGCCTTGGTTGTGAGCCTGGGTGACCGGGAAGATGGTTCTACCTCAGCAGTATTAGGGGCTTAGGAAGAGGGGAGGGTGTATATGGGGGAAAGGAGAATGACTTCAGGTTTAAACGTGGAGTTTAAGATGTCTATGGCAATCCAGTTTTGGATTTCCAGTGGGCACTTGGAGCTTAAGACTGGAAGTCAGGAGAGAGGATAGGGCTGGCCAAATGGATTTGAGAAGCATTAGCATAGAGGTGATGATTGAATCCCTGGGAGCTTATGAGAGTTTAGAGGGAGAAGAGAATAGGGCCTAGGACTCTGCCACCACTAACAAGGATGACCTGGACAAAGACCCAGCAAGGGAGACTGGAAGAGGTAGGTAGGAGAACCAGGAGAGAGCACCGTCACAGAAACCTGGAGAAATCGGGGACAAGAGAGTTGATTGATGACATCACAGGCTGGAGAGGGGTAAAAAAGGGTGATGATTGAGAAAAGGCCATTGGATTTTGGTGGTCAGGAAGTCATTGGTAACTTTGTTATTCAGTTATTTCAGTCATGTCCAACCGTTCGTGGTTCCATTTGGGGTTTTCTTGTCAGAGATACTGGAATGGTTTGCCATTTCCTTCTCCAGCTCATTTTACAGATGAGGAAACGGAAGGCAGTCAGAGTTAAGTGATTTCACACAGTGTCTGAGGCTGGATTTGAACTCATGAAGATGAACTGGTTCCAAGCCTAGCGCTCTAACCAGCTGCTTTGTGGAGAGCCGTTTCAGTTGAATGGTGAGGTCAGAATCCAGGTGATAGAGAGTTGAGAAGAAATAAAGCTGAGGAATTGATTGTAGACTGCCTTTTCAAGGGATGTAGCCACAGAAGGGAGGAGAGATGTGGGATGGTGGCTATCTGGTGGAGACGGATGGATAAGGTGAGGATTTTTTGAGGAAGGGAAGGACGTGGGCACGTTTACAGATTTTAGGGGAGCAGATGGAAAAATGGAGGAGAAGTGAAAGGGTAAGAGCGATAGGGATGCCATCTGCTTGAGAAGACAAGATCATTTGTGCATGAAGAGGGATTTGCCCCAGATAGAAGGGCCCCCTCTTCATGTGAGATGGGCGTGAAGGAGGAGATTGTGGCAGAAGGCAGCCAAGTGATGGGAGATGAGGAAGCTGTCAGCAAAGGATCTCCATTTGTTCAGTCAGACGTGAGGCAGGGCTCTCAGCTGAGAGGGTGAGGGAGGGCAGCCACGTGTGAAGAGGGATGAAAACTGGGGATAGTGTGTTAATTAGCGAGGTGTAAAAGGATTTTCTTGTCCCAGTGAGGGACCAATTGAGGTTGTGTAACATAAATTTGTAATGGACCCAGTCAGAACACTCATCCCTTTCTCAAGCTTGGCTCAGGAGCGCATGTGTGGGAGGGAGGGAGGGCAGCAGATGGTGGGAGTGATCCAAGGCTGAGACTTGGCGGGGTAAGATCAAAGATACAGTAAGGGAAGGGAGAAGGAGACTCAGGAGAGGAGGACAGTGTAGAGTTGGAGAGCTGGTTTACCGGGGTGTCAGAATGGGGAAGGAAGAAGAATGTGGCCAGCTCAGGGGCCGTGGCCTGGGAAAGAACTGAAGGGCCGAGGGTTGGGAGGTCCCACCAGGAATGAAGAGCAGGCATTGGAGTAGCAAGGCAGAGGGAGAGGTGGAATGACAACAGATTATGATAAGAGAATTCAGAATTCCTGAACACGAGAAGCGAAGTACCTCAAGACCAGGGGTGTGGCCACGTCTTCAAAATGCCAGCATCATCCTCGGCCTTCACGCTGGGTACCTTCTGGTGCCTCCCCTCCCCTTTGCAACTTTCTGTGCGTTTGTTTTCCCCCCTTAGATTGTAAGCTCCCTGAGGGCAGGGACTGTCTTCCTTTTTCTTATTTGTATCCCCAGCACTTAGCACTGTACCTGGCACATAGTAGGCACTTTATGTAAGCGAGGTTGGGTGACCAAGAAAGAGATAGCTCGCCCAAGGGAAGCCCACTTTTATGTATCTGAAAAAGAATCTGAAATGAAAATGGTCTACTTAACAGCAAATTGCTCTGTGGAAAAGGAAAAACAAAACATCTGCTGTGTGTCTCCTCTGGCATTTTTTAAATAATTAAATTGTCAAAACAGAAGGTTTGGAATTGGCAGTTGTGGCTTATATCACGGCCAAGATCTGACTGCATCTTTATTGCTTGAAAAACATTTCTGAGTGAAACTGGTTAAGCCTGCTTTGCATATGTGGAGCTATTACATCCCTTCTGCTATCTTCAAAGTGCCCTTCTCTTTACATTTTCTTTTTTGGCTAGTACCCTGTTTTAGACGAACCATCTTCCTAAACAAGGGCAGTAAGGAATTGTATTACTCTTTGAAAGTGATTTTTCTCATTGAATTGCTTTCCTGACATGGTTTTATAGGCTGAAAAAAAAAAATCCAAATACAGATTTGAGATTAACCAAAGCAAGAGATGCGTAGAAGTCCCAGGGGGAGAGGCTGGGAGCCGTAGAATTTCCTTTTAGGGAAATTTTTTTTTCTTTTTTCAAACAAGTAAAGCAGTATATTATGAAATTTAAGCAGTACTAAAACTGATTAAACTTATATTTGCAACTAATTAAATGTAACCATGCAAAAACTAACAGTCTTCATTTACTCCCTGCCTTCTGCGTCCTGTTTTCTTTGTTCATTCATCTCTGTATTGGGGCGGGTAGAATCCTTTGACATTGATAGCCTGGGTGGACTGCTTCTTCAACTGTTCTCTTCACTTCATCTTTCATAAGTCCTTCCATATTTATTTTTTTAAAATATTTTTTAATCATGAAATTAACAACTATCACAAAACATGAATCACGAATATTTTGAAATGCAAAATTAGGAAAGAAAATTGCATAAAAAATTGTGAACTGTGATATCCATTAAGACTTTTTGGACGGTATGTGTGAGAGTGTGTGTGTGTGTGTGTGTGTGTTTCTGTATACACGTGGAGTATTTGTGCCTGATCAATGATAGAGCCTTCAAATCTCATATTGGTCTAATCAGTCACAGTCAGATATGCTGTACCTTGACCCCAACACAGTGATGTCATTTGGGCCGTCTTCGAGAATGAAAGACAGTTACCAACCAACCAGCCAACACATACATAAAGTTTAATGTAGTAGTCAATGAATTGTTGTGTTTGTATCCCCTTCTGCACATTATATTTTCCTTCAGTTCCCTTAAAAAAACCCTGGGAAGACTTGTGTGAACTGATGCAGAGCGAGATAAGCAGAACCAGGAGAACTATTAATACAATAATAGCAACACTGTAAAAACAAATGACTTAGAAACACGTAAGGCCTCTGTTTGATGCAGTGACGGCTCCCTACTTCCTGACAGAGAGATGAAGGACTCAGGGGATAAGCTGACCTGTGCCAGGCATGGACAGTGCAGGGATTTGTTTTATTTGACTATGAGTATTTGTCACTAGGGTTTTATTTTTCTTTTTAGATGAGTTAGAGGGTGAGATGGGGTAGGAGGGAGACGAGGTAGAGTTTTGTTCATTGAAAAAACAAAATTAAATTTTAAATGTGTTACTGATGCTCTTTTTCTCACCTCAGTCTGTTTATTTTCTTCACATTTTACTATGTTAATGTACCTCAGTTTCTTCAGCCCTTCCTTTATGTTAGATATTTTTATTGTATTCTGGATGTTTTGGGATTTTTTGTTGTTGTTGCGATTATAGAGGACACACATCTTTGAATTACATAGCTCTACTTTTAGAAAAATATATAATTCTTAGGGAATGTTTCCAATAATAGGTCAAAGAATATGATTATTATTATCAATAATAATAAAAACTAGTATTTATATAGCACTTCAAAGTTTTCAAAGCACTTTACATCTGTTATCTCAGTAAGAAGTAAAAGATTGTTCAATCTTCATGATCCTAATTTTAAACTTGAGAATTTTCAGAGAATAGATCTCAGTGTATTGCAGAGACACCCATGGTTTCACCACGGACCAGTCATTTCAACACTCTGGGCCTCAGTTTCTCGTCTGTGGAATGAGGGGGCTGGCAATGCAATGCACCATATTGATAAGGCACCAAGTTAGTTACTTAGCCTTTTTAGTGGGGAAGGTTGGGGATATAATATTTTTATTTTTGTTTTTTTGTTTGTTTGTTTTTTTTTTTTTTCAAGATTTCAGGTCTAAGCCTACCTCTTCCTCCCAAAAAATTGATTGGCAACATGGATCGTGAGTTCATAGCTGAACGACAGAAAGGCCTTCAGAACTATCTCAATGTAATCACCACAAATCACATCCTGTCCAATTGTGAACTGGTGAAGAAATTTTTAGACCCCAACAACTATTCCGCAAATTATACCGGTAAGTGAAGCCAACCAGAACCTTTAAGAAACAGTTACAAATAAGAGAGAGGAGACAGTTTTATATATAGAAAGAGAAAAACAGAAGTCTGAGTAAGAAAGAACCTGGGACTTTTAAATTATTCAATGTTTGTTTCATTTAAGTATCCTTGATTTTCGGGTGGTGTTGCGGGGAGCGCTTAGGGGGGCGGATTTATTTCCTTTCAGCTCTGCACTACAGATGCATAAAGGGAAAATTGATTTCTGTAAATGCTCATGCCTCCTGTGCATTACTTTTATCTGTGTGTAGACTCTGGAGCATTATTACTTTTGTCAATACTGATTTCGTATTGGGTGTGTAGGTGCCTTCCTTTGATATCTGTCAGATTGTCTCTCCGTGCCTTAGAGTAAGGCTTCATGAGTGGGTGGGCTCCCAGAACTCATTGCTCTGCGGACAAACTCTTCGAGATCTTGGGGTCACTTTTATGCCGTGTTAAGGCATTTCAGTAGGATGTGGGAGGATCAAGTCTTTTTAAAGGGTACGATCGTATTTGTGACCTGTGTTACGTCTCTGTTATATCCAGTAACAGCAGAGCTGTGAACAATTCAAAATGGCAGCTAATTAACAAGCATTTACATTTAGTTTTGCATTGGCCTTGCAGACTTACATTTTAAAATGTGGGTATTGCTAAGAAGCCTACTTGAAAGGGACTGCGGGACAGCTAGGTGGCAAAGTGGGTAGAACAGTGGCCTTGGAGTCCGGAGGACCTGAGTTCAAATTCGCCCTCAGACACTTGACACTTACTAGCTGTGTGACTCTAGGCAAGTCACTTAACCCCAATTGCCTCACCAAAAAAAGAAAAAAAAAAGAGGGGGATTGGGAAGCTATCTAGTTTCCCCATTCTGACCTTTGCTCATCTCCTCCCTGAAATCAGTCAGTGACAAACACCAGCCTAAGGGGAGCGGCCTTTTTTCATATCTCCCCTAGAGCAGAGGCCCTGGTTAAACATTTGAGCTTGAAAGGGCTCCTCTGATGGGTACAAAGGGATAATACAGAGTAACAACATAATGGCACCAGATGTCAACAAGCCAGTTATTAAAATTTCATAAAGTTTGTGCCCTGGGAGTGTTCACCATGATAAAATACCAGAAAGTGCTGCAGATGAACTGATCAGTGATGCTTAGCTGTGGCCTGTTTGTTTAAAAGACAAAGACCGACAATCATGGGAGCGAGGGTTGAGAATGTCTAACGTGGTTGTGTTACTAAACCGGTCCTGTCGATTCGGCTTACCCAAGCTCATGTTGTCTCTCTGCCCCCTTCTTGTTTGCTGCCACCACCCCCACTCAGGTGTTCAATATCTCTTCCCTGGGCTGTTTCTAAGTCGCTCATCTATCCTCCTAATCTAATCAGTCCTTTGCCTGCTTGCCAACATCACGCCAACTCTCCTCCTCAGGATCCTTCTGTGGCTCCCAGCTCTTAGCCTGGCCCTGCAGGCCCTCCGCTAGATGGCCTCCACAGGCAGGTCTTCCATCTCAGTTTGGCCGTGTTCCCTTTCATGGACTCTGTATCATATTCTAGCGAGATCGGACAACTCCCTGGGCTGTCTTACAGAGGTTCATGTCTTCTCTCTCCGATAGGTTCAAGGCTCTGTGGTCTTTTCTGTTGTGCTATCTCTGATCCCTCTGCCTCGCACATAACACGTGCTCGGTAAATATTTATCAAATTGGCCTGGAACTAGAAAACAAGATTTACTTATTGATTTGCTTATTTCACCACTGTGGTGAAAATTGATTGTAAGGATGTGAGTCTTTAGTTTAATAAGTAATGGAATCCTAAGATAATATTCTCTTATGACAGAGGAGAGAGGTTTTGTTCCTATTTCACGGATGGGGAAATTGATAGTCATATAGATGTCACAGAGATGTCACATAGCCCATCACTGTATTATCGGTAGTCCAGGGAAGAGAGCACATTACATTCCTGCGTCCCGCTCCTGATTGAGAATCTGCCCATCGGTTTAAAGAGTCATATGGGGTCAAATAAAACTACATTTAGGAAATGAGGGAGAGGGCACACACAAAGCCAATTTGGAAACCACATCAGCCATGAGTTATGAAATTGACAGTTTTGTTGGTTTTTTCTTCACAAGCAATTAGGTGGCTCAGTGGATGGAGCTCTGGATATGGAACCCGAGTTCAAATCTGGCCTCAGGCACTTGTGGTCCTGCCCAAGGCACTTAACCTCTGTCTACCTCAATTTTCTCAGCTGTGAAGTGGGACTAATGAAAGCACCTCCCTCCCAAAGTTGTTGCAAAGATCAGATGATATGGTGTTTGTACAGAGCTTAGCCCCGTGCCTGGTGCATAGTAAGTGCTTAAGCATTTATTCCCTTCCCCCACTTAATGCAGCAGAATAGCCAGCAGCGTGCAGAGCCGTAGCTAAAGCCTGGTGGTCTCCTCAAGGCCCCATCAAGATCCATTCTGGCTGGCAGAGGAGACATTCGGCTCTTCCGTTATCTGTAGGGTCTAACCGGAGGAAGTCAGGCCTCCAGGGCACCCTGGGGATCACGGAGAGCTGAGATCCAGAGGCAGGAATGGCTGGCCCTGCAGGAGACGGCAGCTTTTCTCTAGTTTAAAATCGGGGCTGGGGAAGTTGAACATCCTTTACAATTCTTTTTGGCATTACGCATACATGCACACTCAAGAGCTCTAATACACACACACACATGCACATATATACTCATAGGCACTCACTCAAGAGCACGCACATACACACACACTCATATATATATACTCACACACGTGCTCACACTCAAGAGCACGCACATACACACACACTCATACATACTCACACACGTGCTCACACTCAAGAGCATGCACACAAATGCGCACACACCCACATACTCACACCCACTTCATTATTGTCTCAAACCCTCTCCATCTTCCTCTCCACTGCAGAGAGTTAGAGAAAGGAGCCAGGAGCCCGGGGCCCTGTGAGAAGGATAATGACGGTCATTGGAAGCCTCTGCTGAGCTCTTGTAAGCGGCTGTAAACCACTGTTTGGAGAACAAGAGTCTTTGTAAAATTCACCTGCCATGGAGCAGGGCGTTTTCCTCCATTTGAGAGAGGCTAACTAAGTCCTCTGGGAGGAAATGTAGAACCCCGGAGTTTGCTCTCTGACCCTAGCTTACTCCAACAGGTGGAGAAAAGGGAAACACATGCGTTTGTGGTAACGGGCCTGTTGCACCATCTGTTGGCTCCTGTGGCCAGTTGTACCTTGTGTTTCATCACCTTGTAAGCCGCCGACTATCTCAGTGCCCAGCCCAGTTAATGCTATTCTGATCTCCCTGATAATGAAAATATCACCCTCCCTTGTCCCCTGCCCTGATCCTTGGGAAGTTCAGCCCTTCCTTGCCACCCTGAGAAGGGTTTCAGGAATCCTTCTGCCCTCTTGGATTTGATCATGCATGCACACCCTGCCCCTGGTCCTTTCCAGGGTGTTGATAGCACAGTTGTGCCTCATTTCAGGGTTTGAGCCCTCCCACTGTGTCTCTGAAGGCAACGTGGCAGAAAAGGACCCCCGATAGCACTTTAGAGTTTGCAAAGCACTGACCTAGGAGGTAGGAGCTAAGCATCATAATATAGTGGTTACTCTGTGCCAAGCACTATGCTAAGTGCTTTACAATAATTATCTCACTTGAAACTCTCAACAACCCTAGGTGCTGTTATTATCCCCATTTCACAGTTGAGGAAAGTGAGACAAATAGGTTAAGTGACTTGCCCAGGGTCACACAGCTAGTAAGTATCTGGGGACAGATTTGAACCCAGGTCCTCCTGATTCCCAAGTCCAGCATTCTCTTCTCTCCCCCATGTTTAACTGTAGACCATGGTGGGCAGACCTCAGGGAGTAAGAGGTGTGGGGAGAATAGAGTTGGTGTTCAATGAACAAACTACACATGCCCCAGGACGTGCCTTATCCAGCAACACCATAGCAGCCCTGTGGGCAGGTCTGGGTGTGGGGGTTTTTCTGCTGCTGCTGGAGCTACTATGTCTTTATTATATTGTTCATTTTCAATAAGCTTTCATTGATGTCTTTTATTTTAAATCATTGGCATTCCCCAACACATCCCTTCCCCTTTGCCGCCCCAGAGATCGATCCCAAATCTGGCAGCACTCCATAGACAGAATTCCCAGCGCCCCGAGCAGCCAGGAGAGGCCCCTTCTTATACCTTGCCTTTGGGGCCAGGCTTGGTCATCATGGTTTCATGCCCTTCATTGCTTTGTTGTGCTCTTCCTTCACATTGCTGGGGTCCTGGTATGCAACGTCCTCCTGGTTCTGCTTATTTCACTCTGCATTAGCTCATGTAAGTCTTCCCATGCTTTTCTCATCTTCAATGTCACTTCCTAGAGCGCAGCATATTCTAACACATTCACATCTAATTTGTTTAGCCATTCCGCAGTCAATGGGCATCTACTTTGTTTCCAATTCTTTTGCTCCTACAAAAAGTGTTGCTCTAAATATCTAAGTCACTGTGGGGCCTTTCTTTTCGATCCTAACCGTCTTGGGTTATCTGGGCTAGGATATTTTCAGCATCTACACAGAGACTTCAGGACTTCCGGTACCGGAGGTGAGGCCTAGGGTTGAGGAGGAACAGAGGAGCCATGTGTCGGTCTCATGTACATAAACTCCTACAGGATAAAACGCATGGAATTTGGGAAAGGCTAAGGGCCCAAGTCTGATGTGCAGATATGATAACGTTCCAATTTCTGGTGATGCTATAGATTAGATTAGAGGTCTGCCTTAAGCTGGCCAGTTCCAGGAAGCTTCATTCTGCTTTTCAGTCACCCTGGTGTGCTTAAACATTAGCTTTCAAAGACTTTTGCTCACTGGGGGAGCTGGAATGCGGGAGCTCAGTAGGAAGACAGAGAATGAAATTTAATGCTTTGCTCTGGATTTCCTGACTCGAGTCGTCTCCGAAGGCAGCCAGGCAGCAGCATTTGTTGAGTGTACCCAGGCTGGGGAATATTCTTCTGCTGTGTGTATCGGGGAGTTAGCAAAGAAAAAGAGTCAGTGTGGTCCCTCCCCAAGGGAGGCTGAGAGATGGTGACATTATTCAAATCTGGTGACCCTTGACTGGGAAGACCTTTACCTGTCTACCACCGGAGCAGTCACAGGGGCTGATCCCTTCAGAGGTGATATCATGATATCAAGATGCAGTGCCTTAATAAAGCCATCCTAGGCCACAGCTGGAGAGAGTGACTTTTCTGACCTTCACAGATTCCAGGAAAGTCATCTGCCTTTTTTCCTCCACTCCCGGGAGGCTCTGGCCCCCTGAGCTCATCAATTCCTCTCCTACATGCTCCCTCGCCATCTCTAAGAACTCGAGCTGCAGCCAAGAAGAAGTCTGGCTCAAGGGCAGGAACCAGACTGCCCAACGCCCATCTCCACTGAACACGAATTTAACGCTGGTAGTGTGAGCAAGACGGCCATCTTGGGTGCTCCATGGCGGCACCACGTTCAGAAACACAGAAACCTCACAGCCCAGAAAAACTGACTGGATTGGAAATAAGGGGAGGGCGGGCAGTCCTACAAATGCCTGGTCATTCAAACCAGGCCCCCTGCTGGCTTTTGGGGCGCTTTCCCCTTTCCAAGGACAATGAGAAGAGGCGTGTTATTAAAGTACATCATGGAAGCCGCTGCATCTTTCTTTTCTGGGGGAATAAAACATGTTTAATTCATTATTCTCCCTCACCACACTTGAAGGCTTGAAACCATTCCAGGGCAGGATGGGATAGTGGAAAGAGCCTTGGCTCCAGAGTCGGTGACCTGGGTTCAAATTCTGCCTCCACCTCCCATGATCACTAGCTGGATGACCCACTTGTCCCTCACTCAAAGATACTTTGGCTTTGGGGAGGGCAGAGGAAGTGTTCAGTGGAGATGGGCGTTGGGCAGTCTGGTTCCTGCCCTTGAGCCAGACTTCTTCTTGGCTGCAGCTCGAGTTCTTAGAGATGGCGAGGGAGCATGTAGGAGAGGAATTGATGAGCTCAGGGGGCCAGTGCTGTGCACCCGCCGTCTCACCTCATTTCCCTTTTCCATTGGGTCGCCCGTTCGTAGCTCAATGGGTCTTCTCTGTCTTCTCTCAATCTCCACCACAGCTGCCCAGGTCGGCTCCTACAGCTCAAGTCCAACCCCGTCACTGCCCTTCTTAGAACCTTCAGCAGCTAGCCGCCCACTGCCCATCCATGTGAATGTGGATATTGCTGAGTTTTTCTTGAACTCTGTCTTGATCCTGTGATTCTGGCCTTTGAGAAAATGATAAGAATGTTTCTCCTGCTTTCTGTCCTCATTGCCTTTGAATTGGGACATGGGGGGAGGGAGGAAAAGATGATAACCTTGTGTCCCACAAAGAACAGGACTTAACCCCACAGAGGGAAATGGCAGAGCCTGGCAAATCTTTGTGGCTTTTATATCACCCCGTAGGGCCCCCTTTTAAGGAACCGAGTTCTACTGGAGTGAAAAAATGCCGCAGTTTACTTGCATACTCACAGAGCATAGAAAGGGAATTTTCTTGAATTTCTCAGGCCCTTAAAGTCAAGAAATCAGTTTCCATGTCCCCTCTGCCCCGCCCCCCCCATTAGTAATGAACCTGAGAGGTTCTGTTTGTAGCCTAGGAGGCAAGTGAGCTTCTCAGTCAATAAACGTGTACTCTGTGGGGCTGCGTGCAGCCACACTGAGGTCCCTTGGCAGAGAGATCTTTGAATAATCCTTCCCTGAATTGGGATGAATCATTCACACTTAAGTAATTTATTTTAAAATAGCAGATGGTTTAAATTTAATATGAGTATGGAAATACCAGAAACATTTTGCACCAATATTAATTAGAGTAGGTGTAAGTTTTTTGTTGTTTACAGTGAAAGTTTATGGAGTTCCTGACAGGTTAGATGACATTCCCATGGTTCATCACAATTCGTGGAATCAGAGTAAATATTCATGGAATTGTAAGTAATCCACCAGACCTTTCTCTTTCTGTGAATCTTGTCTTTCCTGTGGAGACAATTACAAGTCCTCATCAGAGTGCTTTATGGGCTCCCAGCTCTCAGCTCTTAATGGCTGATTGGTGTCAGAATAAGGTGGCTGCCAAACTGTGATTATTCTCCTTCTCCTGAGAAGGGGGCACCCTGGGAGGGTCGTTCCATTAGCTGGAGTCCATTTCTGTTGTTCTTCTAATAATACCTTGCCATTTCTCTGGAATTTCGCTGAGTAAGAAAAGGAAAATTCCATTGTGAATTTGGAAGGTTGATAACTTCCACCAGTAAACGAAATCCTCTATCTGGAGCTAAAAAGGCTCTCCTAATCAATGATCTATATAGGCTAGCCCTTCATTTTGCAGATAAGGAAAGTGAGCCCCAGGCAGGTGAGTGACTTGCCAAGGTCATCCAGCTAGTGATCATGGGAGGTGGAGGCAGAATTTGAACCCAGGTCACCGACTCTGGAGCCAAGGCTCTTTCCACTATCCCATCCTGCCCTGGAATGGTTTCAAGCCTTCAAGTGTGGTGAGGGAGAATAATGAATTAAACATGTTTTATTCCCCCAGAAAAGAAAGATGCAGCGGCTTCCATGATGTACTTTAATAACACGCCTCTTCTCATTGTCCTTGGAAAGGGGAAAGCGCCCCAAAAGCCAGCAGGGGGCCTGGTTTGAATGACCAGGCATTTGTAGGACTGCCCGCCCTCCCCTTATTTCCAATCCAGTCAGTTTTTCTGGGCTGTGAGGTTTCTGTGTTTCCGAACGTGGTGCCGCCATGGAGCACCCAAGATGGCCGTCTTGCTCACACTACCAGCGTTAAATTCGTGTTCAGTGGAGATGGGCGTTGGGCAGTCTGGTTCCTGCCCTTGAGCCAGACTTCTTCTTGGCTGCAGCTCGAGTTCTTAGAGATGGCGAGGGAGCATGTAGGAGAGGAATTGATGAGCTCAGGGGGCCAGCGCCGTGCACCCGCCGTCTCACCTCATTTCCCTTTTCCATTGGGTCGCCCGTTCGTAGCTCAATGGGTCTTCTCTGTCTTCTCTCAATCTCCACCACAGCTGCCCAGGTCGGCTCCTACAGCTCAAGTCCAACCCCGTCACTGCCCTTCTTAGAACCTTCAGCAGCTAGCCGCCCACTGCCCGTAGGATAAAACAAAATCCTGCATTCAAGGCCCTCCGTAATCTGCCTCTTCACCACTTCCCAACTGTCCTATCACAATTCTTTGTGAAGGCCACATTCCAGCTGTTTCCTGAATTCCACGCCTCTTGTGTATTCCCTCCTGTGCATGCCTGGAATGTACCGTCCTCATCTCCTTCGAGGCTCGGTTCAGATGCCACCTCCTTTGTGAAGCCTTCCCTGATTCCCCTTCCTCCCCATGTGAATCATCTCCTTCCATAATGTGCCTATTTCCCATGTCAGACGTACAGCCCAGGTCAGCATGTACTTGCTGAAAGCTTAAACTGTATAGTAGTAATAAAATTTTTTTTCCTGTCACTTTTTAAATGGAAAGGGCCTTCAGTGTGAGAATTTCATCTGTAAGCTGAGTTCCTTTGGCCTGAAACACTTGGTCAGACGAGAGGCAGCAGGGTATTGTGGGAAGAGTCAGAAGAGGGGCTTGTGTTCTAGCATGGACAGTTGCTGTGTGTGACTGGGCACATCAGAGCCTCAGTTTCCTCCTTTCTGTGAAGAGTCAGTGATAGGGGCGCTTACACTCAGCTGCCCACTCGGGCCTTTGTGCGGAAAGAGCCACACGAAATGTTGAAGACTTTGTAAGCTTTAAAGTGAAATGAATTTATGAAAATATGTGTCTGTGGTATGTGACCTGTTTCACTAATGGGCCTATACAATGTCTTTACAGAAATTGCCTTGCAGCAGGTTTCGATGTTCTTTCGATCCGAACCAAAGTGGGAGGTCGTGGAACCACTGAGAGATATAGGTGAGAAGCCCTGGACGCCCAGAGGCTGCCAAGCCCCGGGGGTGACTTTCAGACTTTGGGAAGCCCCAGGCCTCGGAGCTTAGCGGTGTGCCCAGGTCCTGAACTCGGCGTCAGGAGCCCCTACGTTCAGTGCAGCATTTGTGACCCTTCACTTCAGGGAAAGGTCTCAGGTCCTGAGGACTTAGAACCTCTGCTGACAAAGGGAGTTCCTCATGCCCGCAAACTGGCAGATCTGGCACCTGGAAGGAGTTTTTAAATGAGCCATATTGTGGTGGTTGTGTTTGCGTGTTTTTAGACACTTGCCTTCCAAGCCTGTGGAGGCCTCTTTGACTTTTGTCAGCTCAGGCATGGATGAACGGGTAGCATCTGCCTCAGAATCAGGAAACCCTGGGTTCGAGCCCTGCCTCTGACACGTAGAGGCTGTGTGACCCTGAACTAGTCATTTAAGTTCTCAGGCCCCCAGGAGGAAGGGAATGAGCATTTTTTAAGCACTTACTATATACCAGGCACTATGCTAAACTCTTTACAAGTATTATCTCATTTGATCCTCACAACAACCCCAGGAGGTAGGTGCTGTCATTATCCCTGTTTTACAATTGTGGAAATTGAGGCAGACAGAGGTTAAGTGACTTGCCCAGGGTCACACAGCCAGTAAGTGCCGGAGGCCAGATTTGAACTCGGGTCTTCCAGACTCCAGATATAGCTCTCAAAATAGCCACCAGTTGGCCCAGGTAATTATGAGCTGCAGAGTAGGTCCCATCTGGACTGGGTGGAGGGAGCTTTCTAGAGCAATGAAATCACAGATCTGGCCCCCAGAAATGAAAAACTGTCCTGGCCAAAGGGGGCAGGGGGGTGGGGCACCATTGGTCCTGGGCAGTACCTGGGCGGTCTCATTCAGCCACAATGGTTCTTCGTGTTTGGAAAACACCCATTCATTGTCCAAGTCCCAAGGAGCAAGCATACATGGGTCGTGGGCTGTAGGCCCAGACAGGGAAGTTCTGCGGGAGGCATGTAGACTTTAACAGAAGTCCGCCATCTTGGAGCCTCTAGAACCAGGCTTCTCGACCTTGGTGTGTGTCCAGGACCCTTTGGGCAGCTTGGTAAAGCCTGTTCTCAGAACAGTGGCGTTAAGAGCACAAGATAAAATCCATAGGATTACAAAGGAAACTAGTTGCATTAAACTTTATCCAAACACTCTAATATTCTAGTATTTTTTAAAAATAAGTTCACAGATTACAAATTCCAAGCCTCTGCTCTAGACCAAGCCTAGAAGGGGGCTTGCAGTCAAGAGGGCACTCCCAGAAGGCCTCCAGACAAAGTTCTTTGTTCTTTGAGTGCCCTTACCTGAGCCCCAGGAATGCTAACAAGATGGAATAATGGCTTTATTGGGTGTCCTGGTATTTATTTCTACCTAAGATTGAGGACCTTCTTTTTAAAAAAAAAAAAAATTAATGAGGAAATAAAATCAGTATTAATTCATACTAGAAAAAAATACTGGAATATTATCGTTTTGATCATGTCTATGCTTTTTTCTCTTTTAAAAAAATGCCTTGTTGATGGTCCGTCTGCTCTTGTACCAGGTTGGAGGATACGGAAGAGGTATTTCTTAATGAAGATTAAGAACCAGCCAAAAGAGCGCCTCGTGCTAAGCTGGGTACGCGGGGGTTCGGTCGGTCATGGCTCTTCCTGGGTCTTTGAGAACGATGGTTTTTTTTAAGGCTCAGCAAGGACAATATTTTGTCCTTGGAAATGATGCCTTCTGTCTCTTTGGGCCTTCTCAGCCCCTAGGAGTCGGTTTATTTATTAATTATTCCAAGTCATCCTAAGAACCCAGGCATTAAGACTATGGATTGCGATCTAGCTGGAAAGGACCTTAGCGGTCATCTCACCTAACTCCCTCCTTTTATTGGTGAGGAAACGGAGGCCCCAAGAGGGGAAGTGACCTCCCAAGGTCACACGTTGTGTAAAGTGTTGGAGCCCTGAGCGCTTCCCACTGGACCACACTCCCTTTGGCGCTTATTAGCTGTGTGACCCAGGGTGGGTCACCTGCCACATAGCACCTGCCTCCTGGGTTGTTGTGAGGATCAAATGAGATAATCCAGGTTGTCCCCAAAGTCTTAGTGCCTAAAGTGCTGCATAACCGTTGAGTAGGTGGTGGCCAGAGGAGCGGGAGAATCTATAGGCGTCCTCTTTGGCCAACTCCTTGGTGATCTGAAAGAGGGAAGTGGTTCCCCCAGGCGGCTAATTCTTAAAAATTACGCTATCACTGGTGTTCATCCTCCGGGTTCTATGAATATATTTGGATACACGTCATAAAAGTTGGGTCCGAGTGGGGACCTTCTTCTGCTGCTTGCCCTAGGCCGGGCTCAGATGTTTCCATGTTCTCTGCCCCTCTAGGCTGACCTTGGCCCTGACAAATACCTGTCAGATAAGGATTTTCAATGGATCATCAGACTCCTTCCTTCCTGTTTGGTGAGTAGCTCTCCTCCACTCCCGAAGCTGCTGATATCAAATTCCTGGCCCAGCTGGTGGGAATCTCAGGTCCCTGCCTTTTTCTTTTAGCTGAGCTAAGAGATGAGCCTCCAGGTCATTAGGAGAAGAGACCTAGAAGTGTTTCCATTAAAAATCTAGGGAAGCTCAAATGGCCTAGGCCTCTGTACCCAAACCTGAGCTGATAAACCAGGGCCAGGCAGGTGGAGCCTGTTCTGGGGTCATTTTCTGTTTTAAGTAAACACTGGCAAAGCCAGCCTCATCTCTCCCTGGTACCTAATGGGGACAAGCAAAGGAGGGGGCAGAAAAACCTGCTTCTGGGGCCAAGACCATAATAGAGGCTCCCTGGGTGGAAAACATTTTGCTGTGATGGGGATGGTCATGATATCCTGCGATGAAGTCGACGGGTCTTTTTCGGAGGCAGGCTTTGGTAACCCAGGCACGTGGGATCACATTGCCAGATGCGTGTGGGCTCGTTTAGGCCCATGTTAGTGCTGCTGGCCTTCCCGATCTGTGACTTGTGTGCTTCATTTAAAAATGAGGCAAGGAATAAAGTGACCTTTAGTTACTGTCAGCTTTTCTATGCGGTGGCCTGGCTGCTATTTGGAGGAGGCAGGAAAACCAGATTTTTAATGGTGTTGGTGGGTGAGTAAGCAACATCCTTGGATTGGTTCCTTCTCCAAGGCTGTTCTCAGCAGCCTGATTCCTTAAGTGGGTGTGGCTCTAGACCCTCAAGCCATGGCCCCCCGCCCCCATTACTACAAGGGTTAAGGCCAAGGGGCTTCCTCTGCCTGACTGTGACACCCCTGCTCTAGGAGCGCCAGGAACTCCCTCGTGTCCCTGAGTTAAATTGCAGTCTCTTCTCTGGCATCGAAAGCCCCTCAAAGTCTCTGCCCAGCCCACCTTCACAACTGCTTTTACTTACTCCCCCCTCAACACTGTCCTGCCCCCGGGCCTTCCCGACACTCCCTTATTCCATTCCATCTCATGCGTCCATGTCTGTGTGTGGCCTGTCTCCCGTGCCCAGAGTGGTCTACCTCTCCCCTCAGCATCAGTTCAAGGTGTCACCCCCTGGAAGATGGGCTTTTCCACTGCCCTGCCCCTCCCAGGATGACTCCATATAGATACTATTACACGTGTGAAGGTATTTACTCCTCTTTAGACTCGTAGTTTTCTCTGAGTGGGAGATGAGCTTTTGGAGGGCAGGCATCATTCCATTCCTGACTCTGTGTCCTTGGCTGGAAGCTCTCGTACTTGGCACAGCCTGGTGCTGGCGTCGGGTTGGCTTGGATTGACGCCTGCAGTGCCTTCATGCGTCCTGCGATGTAAGGGAAGATGAATCGAGGAGCTGTCTGATAACAATATCATTGACAAACTTACTCTACTTTTACAATACGGCAGCAGTTTTGACACTGGTGAGCAGAAGCCGCTTGAACCTGTCGCGACCAAGGGGCCACGGTACACCAGTTTTGGGCAGAAATCAAATAGAGAAGCTTTATTTTTATTACAAGACATGAAGGGGTGAGAGTGATTGATTGATGGCCAGGTGACCTAAGGAAAAACCCCACAATTTCCTACCAACTTAGGGCTGGAGCAAGCAGGTGTGTGGTAGAGGAACACGACGGTGGAGGGAGGCTGGCCTTGAAGGCCTTGCTAAGCCGTCGCTGGCCTTGGCAGGGAGAGCAAGGCAGCTTAGTGTTGTCTTGTGTAGCAGGGGTCCTGGGGAAGGGCGAAAATGAACTCGGGGTGAAGGGGGGTGGGGAAAGTGAAAGTGATTGCTTGTTTTACTGCAAAATGGAGGCTATTTTAAAGATGGAGTGAGTCGCTCATACCAGGAGAGGAGGAGAGGGGAGATGCAGGGTCCCTCTGTCTTTGCTTCCTCATACAAGTCTCAGGATAATATCCTGAGCAATACCTCCCCTCCCCGCCCCCTCATTACTCCCCAAAGCTGGTCCTGTCCCATAGCTCTGAATTTTCACTGGGTCCTTAGAGAGGCTGGTGTTACAGCATCTGCCCGGAGCCCGTATTTTCTTCTAACCGAATTGGGGTTCCGGGTTCCCCAACGACTCTTTGTAGCTCATTCTCTGGGGACCTTCTTCCTTAGCACTCTCTCCCCCTGACCCATCACCCCTGGCTTCACTGGCACCGTAGGTACGATGCGAGTCATTCACTGTGCTACCTCCCAGAGAAAGGGCACGAAGCCTTTGGGAGGGCGCCGGAGCCTCATCTGTGGTCCGGCCTGCACTGACCTGAGCAGAGGTGTGGGGGACAAACCCAGTGGGAGCAGGGATGGAATGGGCCGTGCTCTGCTTCGTCTGAGCTGTGTGTGTGGGGGGGAGGGGGGGAACCACAGAGGAGCAGAGGGGGCAAAGACGTGGCTCCCTCGGGCTGCTCTGTGTTATCCTGAATGGTTCTGGGGGAGCAGGTTCCCTGGTGCAGCCTCGCCTCCGTCATCCGTCACCCTTCCCAGGGTGGCTTGGTCTCTCTCCTTATCCCAAGGTGAAAGGCGCTCTCAAGGATGACTTTGCCCTCAGACAGCTGGGCTCTGTCATGTGTTTAAGGGATGTTCTCCCCAGCCTGGCATAGCGTAGGTGCTTGATAAATGCTCATGGAATTGATTCAGTTCCTTTTCTCTGCACAAACAAGCTGTTGGGGAGAGGATGTGGGAAGAAGTCATAAACAGTTAGGCTCAGGATGGTATGGTTGGGGGGTGGGAGGGTTATGGAAGCCCCTGGAGGTCAGGGAGCATGGCACCTAGCACACAGGACGCTCTGAATGAGTGCACAGTGGTTGATTTGGTTATAAAGAGTGGAGGAGGTTCTTGTGAAACAGCCTTCATGGTGATCGGAGGGGGCAAAGGCTGACTGCTGAGATGACCTGGTGGCCACCTGCACACAGCTAACGGGTGCCCTTTGCCTTGGCAGCACCCATACGTCTACCGAGTCACCTTCGCCACGGCCAGCGAATCCTCCGCCTTGGTCATTAGGACCTTTAATGAAAAAGGAACACTGAAGGACCTCATCTACAAGGTACTTGGATGAGCCAGGGAGGGGGGGGCTTGGAGAGAAATGATGGGGAGTCCTGGATTCAAATCCTGCCCGTGGTACTGTGGTTGTGTTACTGGGGGGGGGGGCAACCTCTCTGAGTCTCAGTCTTCTCGTCTGCAAAATGGGCATGATCCCCTCTGCTCTGCAAGGTTCTCATGAGGCTCCAATGAGGTAATGTGGGGAGAGCATTTAGTAAACTTTAAAGCCATCTCCAAAGGTGAGTCGTTACTGCTGTTACAAGTTGTCCAGTGTCTGATTTGTCCACTTGACCTTCACCTTAGAGGCAGGGCCTTTGAGCTGGCAGTTGGGTGGTGGAGGGCCCAGAGCTTTTTTGATTTCACCCTAGAAAAACTACCGTTGTTTCCAGAATTCTTCCCTCCCCCTTGGCCCCCTGCTCTCCTCTGCCCCCCCCCACCCCCCAGCACACACAGGAGAATCATCAGTATGTTTCATGACATACCAGGTTGTCACCTGTGACGCGACATGTGTGGGCTTTGGGTAGCAAGGCACCAGCCCAAGCCTGCAGCCAGATGTGTGTGGGGGCCGGCCTGGCCTGGCCTGACCCAGCCCGGATGCTGCTTCCCCCGACCCGGATGCTGCCTCCCCACGACAACCTCAGAACGAAAGGAAAATCAGCCTCTTTCTCCTAATTGCATCAGGTGGTTCTGATTCTAAAGCCAGATGACCAAGCACCGCTTTTTCCTTTGCTCTCCGGACTTGTCTCAGCTCTGGATTCCTGATGCTTTAAACAAACAATCAGATGACTATTATCGTGACAAATGCAATATTTGTGATGGACTCCAGTTAACCAGTGGTGGAGCCAAACTTGGGGGTAACTTCAGCCCAGCCCCCTTGCTGGAGCTGGGTTTATCTGAATTAGTGTAGAGGAGAAAAATGAATGCCATATACCACACTTGAACAAATGAAACCTGAAAAATGAACAACCCCCCCCCCCCCCCAAAAAAATAGTCTGTCTAGCACCCACTTTCAAGTGCTGAGCATCTGCTGGCCAGTGCGTGTGTGAGTGGGTCTGGTTTTTATCACTTCTTATTATTCCCAGAGAGTCCAAATATGGCCTTGTCGTCTTCCTATTTGCCATTCGTAGCATTGGCTTATTAAATGCCATGAATAGACCACGATTTATTCAGCCATCCTCAAACCGCCGGACATACAAGTGGTTTCCAGCTTGGACAAATATTACAAGTAAATGAATGTTTTTGGATCCATGAATACGTGTTTCCTTTTCATGACGTTTTAAGGATAGAGTTGCTGCCATAGCCCTGTTGGGTCAGTGTTTCTTAGGATCTTTGTGACATTCTATAGTGCTCTTTGCTCTCTGAGGAGTTTGCAGTTCCTATGGTGCCTGTTTCCTGGCAGGCCTTCTGACGTTGAATGGGATCCTGTTTTGCTCCTTGTGGGTTCAGTGGGTGTAAGGTGGTATCTTTTATTTGGTTTTTTTCAAAGGCAAAACCAAAAGACCCGTTCCTGAAGAAATACTGCAACCCTAAGAAGATTCAGGGTCTTGAACTCCAGCAAATAAAAACATTTGGACGACAAATATTAGAGGTGAGGAGTGTTTAGTTTTTGCTTAAAATATGGTGGAGTTGACATATTCTTTCCCCCGGCCTCTGCCCGCTTTGCTATCCTGAGGGGTTATACCATTCTAGGCAGAAGGGTCCAGGGAGGGGCAGAATGGGTTAGTTTAAGCTGTTATGGGAGGAGCCCTGGGAGGGAAGTCAGAAGGTCCAGGGTCCACATTCCATCTCTGCTACTTTATAACCATTAGACTTTGGGCAAGTCATTGAATGTCCACAGGCCTGAATTTATCTGTGAAATGAGGGGGTTGAACTAAAGTGACCCCTAAGGTCCATCTCTTCTGAGTTTAAATTTTAAAAGCACCGCCATTCCTAAACCTATAGACAAAGGTTTGTGAATGGTGATGATTATTTGTTACATGTGATTTAAATGATAATTTTATACGCACACACACAAATACACACACACACACAAAATATCTATATACATACACATTTATGTATATGTCCTCTGCAAGTGTATATGTAAGGTCTGGAATTTCCCCACCTAGGGGGCCTCTATCTCCCCCATGACTATGGGGTGTTCTTTTGATACAATTGAAGAGACCAAGGAACTCTAGACTGATTATAGGTAGCAGTTTGATTAATCATCATTAATACTCATAAACAGGGGCAATCTTTAGTCTGGACTGCAGCCAGTTCTGTGGATCCCCATTAAAGATCCCCAAAATCCCTGTGGTAATTATAGAAAACAGACGAAGGCAGGAGGAGCTGGAGAGTACAAAACTACTGATTTTTTGGTTTTCTGCTTAGTAATGAGCTTGAGAGTTAAGCCGGTGTTGTTCCCAAACATAGGTTTGTGTCTGGATCGTATACCGGTTACAAATGGGTCACAATATTCTTATTGTTTTCATAGGTCATAGTATCTTAAACTATGACTCAGTGTCTAAGTTATGATTGTAAAAAGGTCACCATGTTTGTCCTTCCACCTTTCACAGTCTAAGTTTTTATGGCTTTTCACTTATTACTGTATTTTAGGGCTTTCTCCCAATAGGAACCCAACCATATATTATGTGTGTCAGCCTATATACAGGGTGTCCCAAAAACCTTGATACAGTTTTTTTGTTTGGTTGGTTTTTGGAGGCAATTAAGGTTAAGTGACTTGCCGGGGGCCACACAGCTAGTAAGTGTCTGAGGCCGGATTTGAACTCAGGTCTTCCTGACTCCAGGACCAGTGTTCTATCCACCATGCCACCTAGCTGTCCCTCCTTCATGCAGTTTTTAGGTTTTAATAGCAGAAAGCTATGTACTAAGATGTTTTGAGACACCCTGTGTGTGGGTAGATGTATGTGCATGTGTGTGTATGTGTGTTATGTATGTGAGTACATACTCTACAAGAGCAGGTGTTTGAGACCAAGGCAGCAGTTAATTTAATTTTCTTATTAACTTGCTTACATATGGATAATTTGTAAATGTTGGATTATAGTGCCTGACTTTCTGGAAGGCGTCCATGGGTGTCACTTTATGTCCATCGTTTCTGACTTTTCCCTAATGAACTTTTTATCCCTGAACCGAGATTCTTCATTTCCCGTAATCTTAAGGGTCTCATACATTAGGGTACAGAAGTTGCAGAAAGTATTAAATTGCTTCCTCCTGCCAACTGAGGGCTCACGGTTCATCTCAGGGGCCGCCAGGCTTGAACACCAGGCTTGCTCCTTTGTGTGAACGTTTCCGTGTAGACAGAAGAGGAGAAGGCATTGGATTTTTCATGAATGTGGATCCCAATACAGGCTGTTTGGATATTGGGATGTGGATCTTCACAGGTGTGAGCGGGCCAGAAGGCCATCCTCGCCCTCCCCCGTTTCAGGTTCTGTTGGAGAATATTGAGATTTTTAGCTCGTCGCTTGTCTCTGCTAATCCCATAAAGACCCCTCTCCATCCTTGCTCTTCGTCCGTTGGACACCTTAGCCCCTTACTTCACAGGAGAATCCGTCGTCATTTCTCTTCAAGGGAATTGGCAAAGATGATGCTGGTATTGTCCTCGCAGGTGCCTGTTGGATTTTTGGGTCAAAATGTATCGACTTTTAAAACCTTTTTTAGTTGTGTTGGTGCTTCTTATTTTACATGGCAGTTATTTCCATTGTGATTATTTTTCCTCCCCCTCGACAAGCCTTCCCTTGTAACAAAAACAACAATATTTAAGTTGACTTTAAATAAACCCTTATTAATATCTGACAGATCAGGCATCCAGGACGGTGAGGGTCCATAAGACCATACCTTCCTGGGGTCAGTGGAAGGACACGATGAGAAGACTCAGGGAATATCTGAGAGTTGTCTTTGACTATCTGGAGAATTGTTTCAGGGCAGAGAGATGAGAGCTTGGCCTCTGAAATCAGGACGGGGGCAAAGGGGTCGGGAGCATAGAGCCAGGTTTTGACCTGAACAATCTGCCGATATCTAGAGCTGTTCCAAGATAGCCTGAGCTGCCTTGGAAGGCGAGGTTCCCCCTGAACAGACTGGATCGCCACTTTGTGGGGATGTTGCCAGTGGCATTCTCCGTCAGATAGGCTTAGACCAGGGGTGCCAAATGGTGGCAGCCCCAGTGCACCGAACCAGACTAAAATGTGATTGGGAAACATTCCACAAGATAACTAAAAATAAAGTAGAATGGGGTTAGATTAATATGTGATTTTTCTAAGTCAGCATGTGGCCTGCAGAGGTCTTTATGTGGGTTCCATTACAATTTGAGTTTGACACCACTGGCTTACGCGGTCTCTGAGCTCCCCTCCAACACCGAGATTCTCTGGCCTAGAAGATTTTTTTTTTTTTAATGTAAAACATTTGAGGGTTTTGTGTATGTGTGTGTGTGTGTATGTGTTTGTGTGTGCAGGGAGGGGATTCCCTTGGGGAGGGGCAGTGGAGGGACAGATTACAAATGCATGTAAAATAATTTGAACAACATCGATAACCCCTTTGCTAAACACAGCTGCTCTCTCCGAGTGACGTGATCTGCAGTCCTGCACTTTGTCTCGGTTATACAGGCATTAAAGTTCCTCCACGAAAAGGGATTTCCTTACGGCCATCTTCACTCTTCCAATGTGATGCTGGAGGGAGACACGTGCCAGTTGCTGGATCTCGAGAATTCCTTATTGGGGCTCCCTTCCTTCTATCGGTCCTATTTCTCACAATTTAGGAAAATTAACGTAAGTTGCTGACAGCTGTGAAAAGGGAAGAGTATTTTCAAAGTAGAAATATGATGGCAGGACACAGGACTGGGTGGAGAGCCTTGGACATATTGGGGGGAACATGGAATGGTTTGGCGGGGGCAGGCTTACCCCCAAGATCTCAGGCAGTGTAGTGTGGTAGGAAGAAGCCTGACTGGACTCACTCAGGAGCCCTGGGCTTTCCTTTGGGCGCTTCCCTTTCCTTGCATGTCAAATGAGGCTCCCAAAGGTCCATGCCAGGGCCTACACTGGCTGGCTCCAAGGGCCTTCCTTCTCACTCTGGGAGCCCAGGAGAGGCTTCTGGGCCAGTTAAGATGGCAGGCCAGGGCTGCTGGGGAGATGGGTGGGTGATAGCCACGCCCAGAGAAGCACAGACAGTTCAGAGAGAACCCTTTAATCTGACTCCGTGCTTCCGTGACATTTGTCACCCGCCTGCTGGGACATCACGCTGTTGGTGTGTCTCATTCATTATCCAGAATGGGTGGTGAAACCTGAGTGTGGAGGCCCAGGGCAGCTTGGAGACTAAGCCTCATGTTTGTCCAGGCGTGAATGAGGGCGCTCTGTCTTGTTTCCCTACAGACATTAGAAAGTGTGGACGTCCACTGCTTCGGGCACTTACTTTATGAAATGACCTACGGTCGGCCCCCGGACTCAGTGCCAATGGACACATTCCCTCCTGCCCCATCCGAGGCTGTGGGTCAGTATGCTCTTGGACTTGTCTTTCCTGCTTCTCCCATGCTTTGGATGCCCACATACTTCCTTTTCACAGTCCAAACAAAGAGACCGCTTGTGTGGGTCATCTTGCCCCACAAAGGAGACACCTTAAACATTTACAACCTTTTAGTTGCCTTGAATTTGTGTATCCCCTGAAATGGCTAAGAGAAAGGCCAGACTCTTTGCTCCCCCACTAAAATGCTTGTGCCACAATCTGAAATAGGCCAGAGTTTTGGGAGAAAACTGCTGTAATGACGAGGTCGTGCCTGGGCACGAGTGATGGCAGAATATGGATGTAGGCCTGAGGATCTCCTGGCACCATCCAGACAGGCAGCGGAGCAGAGGAGAGACAGACCATCTGGCTCCTCGTGCCAGCTGTGCTGCTTACTAGCCAAGTGATAGTGGGCCAGTCACTCCCCTTCTTAGGTCCTCAGTTTCCCCATCTGCAAAATGGGGATACTTGGTCAACCCACCCGCATTTATTAAGCTCCTGTGGTGTGTCCCACCGCGCTAGGCACTGGGGTTGTGCAAACAGAAGTGAAGCAGACCCTGCCCTTGAAGAGCAAGGGGAGACATATCTATCCATCTATCCATCCATCCTCCTATCTATTGATCATCTATCTTGCTGCTTGTGTCTGCCTCTCCATTAATCTTCTTGTCTTTCTCTTTCTTTCTATCATCTATCTGTCTGTCTTCCTATCTGTCTGTCTCCCTCGTTCTCTCTCCATCTCTCTGCAAAGCTGAAATGAAGTGGTTTGGGAGGGGGAGGCAAGAGCAGACAGGAGTATCAGAGAAGGTGGAGTTTGAGCTGACCTTTGAAGGCCCCCAAGGATTCTAGGGGTTTGAGTGGGGGAGGAGTGCATTTTGGGAATGGGGGCAGATAGTCAGGCCTGGAGAGCCCACCCCCCAAAGCTGTTGTCAGGATCAAACAAAAAGTGCCTTAAGGTGACCTGTAAATGTCATTGCTGTAATTTCCAGTACCTAAGGCTTGCAAAGACCTTTGGGTTCTGAGCTGACCACTGGTTTGCCCTTCAGCCTTCCTGGGTGGGGTGTTATCTGGAAGGGAAGGTTCCACTTTGAGAGCATTAGTCTTCATTCAGCCTTTAGCAGATTGTGTGGAGGCAGCCAGGCTTCTCAGATGCTTTTGAAGTTCAGAACGGGATCTGATTTACTTCTGCTTTTAAAAGAACAAATGGTTTTTATGAATGGTGTCTTGAATTCCTGTCCCCTCGCACGCTTTTCAAACTTATTTCTGACATTAAACGTTGCCTTGTCTCAGTATGCGGTCTCCAGCACTGTGTTGTACATCACCCAGCGATGATGCTGAGGACTGCCAAAGTTACTCTCCCCAGCCTGCACCATCTGTGTGTGTGTGAAGCGTTTTGACACAGTATTGATCAGCCAGCAGAGACTTGTCAGATGGCGGTGGGTTTGCTGGTGTGTTCTGTGTAACTCAACAATGTCTCTTGGTTTCCAGTGGCTGTCCTAGAAGCCCTGCTGTCTCAGGAAGCCTGTAAGAACGGCATGCCTACCGTCTCCCGCCTCTTACAGATGCCGTAAGTCCAGAGGGCGCCTACCGGGTGGGGGTGGGGGAGTCCCCCTGGTCTGTAGGCCGAGGGTCCTTAGCCCTGCTGGTCAGGACGTCCTGACAGGCACCATGAGAAAAGGCTGGGCCGCGGCTGCCACCTTCTTCCTTTGGGGAGGTGTCAGCATGAGTGAATTCTCACGACCACCCACTTGTAGCCTCTTGGACTCTTCCCGTCCTTCCCCCCTTCCTTTATTAATATCTTTTCTCTTCACAATCACCTTTACCTCCCAGGATGTCTTCTCCCTCTCCCCCTCCTGTATAACAAAAAATTAAAAAGGAAAGAAAACCAGGCCAGTATAACTAATGAGTGCGTTCAGTCTGAGATTAGAGGCAGCAGGGCCTCTGCCAGAGGGGAGGGCTCTGAGAGCCCCTCTCCCTCCTTCTCCCCCGCCGGTCATTCTGCTTTCTAGTAGTCGGTTCTGACCAGTGGTGGCGGCCACTTGTAGACTGTTTTTCTGGTTCTGCTTACTGTGCTTTGCCTCTGTTTGTATCAGCCCCCCACGCTTCTCCGAATTCCTCACAGGCCTTGTTTCGCACTGAATGAAATGCTTCCTATATTATGCCAAGATGCTTGTTGACTCTGCTCTGAACTAGGTCAGCCCTGCACAAGTGTGTGTGTGTGTGTGTGTGTGTGTGTGTGTGTGTGTGTGTGTGTGAGAGCAGCCCTGGTTCTGCCATGCTTTCTGGCTTACTAAGAGCTTTCAGCATGATCTCCTGGAGAAGGAGGGCAAGGGTGAGGGTCACACGTCTTGTTTCCCAAGAGCCCTGACCTCTTCCCATATCCCTTGATCTCCGGTCTAAATACCTGGTCATGAATGGCCCCAGAGGCCTGACAAGTTACCAGGACCGGGAATGTTGACCCTTCCCCCAGACCCTCTCTCTCCCCTGGCCCTCTGGCCAATGGAAGACTTTCCTTTACCCTCTTGGCCCCTACCCCGGCTGGTTCAGGGGGAGCCCCTGACCTCTCTGCTGCTGTCCTGGCGTGTGTGTTTCTACAGGAGACCCTTCCTGGTCTGTCTGTCTGCTGGAGTCCCCACCCCAAAGGGTCACCTTCTGTCTGCTGTATGTATCTGTTTGTTCATATGTCGTCTTCTCCATTGGACTGGGAGCTCCTTGAGGGCAGGGATGGTTTTTGCCTTTCTTTGTATTGCCAGTACTTAGCACGGTGCCTGGCACATGGTATATGTGTCCATAAATGTGTCCTGGCTGATAGGCAGAGAGTTTGATGGTCTGCAGTCCCCGTGGCGTGGGGGTTCCCACAATCAGAGCCCACCTCGGTCATCCCCACAGAAGGTGTTATCATTAGTGCATGCGTGGAAGAGAAATGCAGTTGTGGGTGAAATAGATTTCTGTGGGCTGTCCCAGGAACATAACCGTTGTGTATGACATCGTTTCTATGGGGAAATTCTGGGCACCAAACAGCAGTTTTCAGACTCCCAGAACACACACTGCCAGTAAGAGGGGAAGTGACCTGTGTGGAGACTGTTGCTTCCTCACACGTCCTCACTCCAAACCCAGTGGTTTTTCTCTCTGATGGCCAATTTTAAAGACTAAATCCAGTCTCTTTTTTTTCTTTCACATAATTCTGACCTACTTCAGGTATAGCTTGTTTTAAGAGTCAGTGAAAGAAAAAAAAAATAAAAAAATTTTTAAAATGTAGCACTCAGAACTAATATATATAGCCCCGATATGATCTGTATAGGGAATAAGAGAGTGATGCTATCAATATTCTTGTTCTTAATACTGTAACTCTATTAATCCAATAAAATGTTGAATCAAAAAAAAAAAGTCATTGAAGAGCTATCACCTACGCCTAATCAAGCCCTGTTTGCCTAGAGTAGTGGTGGGTCCTTGGCCAGCCAGAGGTTATACCCTCAACCTCAGGAAAAATTGGGCAGGTGCAATACTCAGGTGCTCACACAATGTGCATGCACACACACACTTCTGGGGGAGATGCTGCCTTCTTGATGACCTGGCCTCTGGGCATTTCAGAATTCCTCATGTTATTTCTCTCCTCCACGCCCCACTCAGGCAGCCACCCTGTGGGGAGGGCGTCACGCTTGGGTCTGCTTTTCTTTTAGGAGAAGGGGTGATTTGTTTGCTAGATCCCACCCAGGGCAGTTCCCTTTGCATGCCTCTGAAGATTCCCCTGGTCAGTCAGCGAGCCTTCAGGGCCCTTCTCACTGGTGATCACGTTTGTCGTAAGGCTGCCTCGATGCTTCATGAGTGTGCAGAGCACCCTGCTCCCTGGGGGACTGTCATCCTGTCAGGCCGGGCGAGGCCTCGGCCGCGTGGGCAGGTCCTGGGAGGAGGATTATGGAGGGACAAGAATCCCATGAGATCAGGAGGTGGGGACGGGTTCTCCCCAGAGGAGATGGCAGATCTGGGAAAGTGTCCAAGGACCTCTGAAATGCCTTCCTCTGGGGTGGTAGTCAGCCAGCAAGCGTTAATAAGGGCCTCTGTGTGAAAGCTCCCCTGCCCCCAGGAGGCTTATGTTCTGGTGGGGAGAACAACACATACACATATAAGTGAATCCAAAAAAGAGACCAGGAAATAGGCAGGGGGCCCCCAGAGTAACTGTGCTTTAGAAGGTGGTGCTGAGGTCACGGGAAGGAAGATTTCCTGGGGCTATACGCTGTGTGGCCTTCACGGTGCTATGATGTTCTCAGGTCACAAATGTTGAAATGAATTTCACCACGCAGAGAAAGGGAGGCAGCAAGGCATGGTGGATGGAGTCAGGCAGACCTGGATCCATGTGTGCTGGCTGGGCACTCAGGACAAGTGGCTGAACCTCCCCCTGCCCTGGACTCTGAGTGGCAGAGGAGGTGTTGACCTGCACTGTGGAAGGACTTTGCTCTGAGGGAATTCCCAATACCAACTAAATCACAGGTGCACCCCAAAGGAGAAAGGATCTGAGAGGTTCCTGTGAATGTCCTGTCTCCTTGGTCATGAATAACTGGTTTAAATCTTGTTTGTTCCTGCAGGCTATTCAGTGACGTTTTCTTAACCAGTTCAGAGAAGCCGCAGTTTAAGGTAAAGTGGGCCTCATGTGATTTGGTCACAGGGGCTTCTTGTGGGTCAGATGGGGCAGGCACTTGTCTGGGACTGAAAAAGAGAAAGTGGGGGTCCTGAATGTGGCTGGAGAGGCTCTGGGGCGCCTTTAAGAGAGCTCTCTAAGTTAGGAGAGTCTTCATATTGCAAAGTGCAGAGGAAAAGGATTTTCTCCAGTGGATCAACTCAGAAGATACGTTAATGCTCTGCCTAGGAAGTCAGTGCCCCGGGAACCCTCAGACGCCCTGTCGTTTCTTAGGGATGTGTTTGCCTGCTTGCTTTCAGTCTGGGTTCTGTCCCCCTCGTCCCCCTGGCCCTTGCACTCATGGCTGCAGAGATCATCAAGTGAGCCTCACTGCTCCTGACCAATCTATATGTGCAGCCCTGCAGTCAGGAAGACCTGAGTTCAAATCTGGTCTCAGATCCATAAAACTTACTAGCTGTGTGACCCTGGGCAAGTCATTTAACCCCATTGCCTAACAAGAAAAAAACCAAAACAAAGTCTATATGTGCCCATTTTCTAGGCCAAATACATCGAGTCCAGTTAATCAGGTTCAGAGTCTGATCCTTGGAGTCTTTCTCTGATTCTGAGTTCCCTTGATGTGTGCTTTGCTTTGCTTGCTCTCCAAGAAGGATTGTGGCTGACACACTGAGCAGGGCTTTTAGGAGCCCTGGGCAGAAAAACCGCTGTGAGGGGCATTCTTTGGAAGTGAATAAGAATGTGATTTATTGATCATGGCCCAGCGGAAAGAGCCTTGGCCGTAGGCTCAGGACCCGAGTTTAGGTCCTCCCTGGGCCACTTACTCAGGGGCGATTTTGGACTAGTTTCTTCCTCTGTAAGATGAGGAGGCCGGGCCAGACAGCCTCTCACGTCCCTTCCAGCAGGACAGCTCTGATCCCATGAATCGTTTCGATTTACCTGCTCTCTATGAAAGGGTTGGGCAGCTGAGCACATTTCAGTTCCAGGGCTGACTGGCCTGGATCTCGTGTTGGCACCTTCTTCCTTACATGTTTCAGGTGGCTGCTTGTTCCTAACCAGCAAACACTCCTGGAAGGAAAGATGGGCTCAGTTCTTGTTTCACTCTCCTTGTTGATAAAGGCCTCCTCTCTCTCCTTGTCTATGCAGATCCCCACGAAGTTAAAAGAGGCATTGAAAATCGCCAAAGAATGCATAGAGAAGAGGCTAATTGAAGAGCAAAAACTGGTAAGTTTCTCATGGTTGTTCAAGTTTTCCATTGTGCCCCTAACCCTTCTTTCTTCCCCCTTTTGGGAAAGATGTAGCCAATGGGGATGGTTAGACTGGATGGTCAGCTATCTGTCCGTACTACTCAAGGCTAGAATGCATGCCTTCAAGATGGGTGGGTAGGTAGATGGATGGATGGATGGATGGATGGATGGATGGATGGATGGATGTGTGGATGGATGGATGGATGAATGGATGGATGGATAGGTGGGTGGGTGGATGGATGGGTAGATGGATTGAGTGGAATGAGTGGAACATTTATTAAGTGCTTCCTCTAACCTAGTTACCTCACTATGATCTGAGGACATAAAAACAAGCAAATAAAACAGCATAAAATAAAATATGTAGGATGTTGGAGGAAATCAATTATGTTGAAATACAGCTGTAGACTATTTTTCCCATCTAATTTCTCTGATTCCTTTGGGGGTCCATCCCGTCCCCCTGGGTTATGAGCCCCTGATACAATTGTCCAGCAAGTAGTTAACAATATAGAGGTAGAGCCCTGGGGTGAAGTTGAAGCTAAGCTAGAGAAATTTGGGTGTCATCTCCATTGGCATGAAAATTGTGGCCATTTCAGCAGCTGAAGTTGCCGAAGGGTGAGAGGAACCAGAAAAGCTGGGCACAGTCCCTGTGCCTCCCGGGGCGTATCTGCCCCCAGCACACCGAGGAGAGCTGGATGGTGAGGCTTTGGGGGGCCAGGTTGGAGCACAAGAAGTGGCCTGAGATTGCCTGGTTTATCCATTTTACCCAGGTGACCTCAAGGGAAAAACCCTTTGGCATTTAAAGGCCCTTCCCAGTGTGACCCCAGCCTGTCTCGGACTGACCTCACCTATTTCTCCACATCCACTGCATTCCAGCCCAACCAGCTGTCACACCTGTCCTCCATGCACACCCTTCCCTGGCCTCCCATATCGAGATGCTCTCATGAGCCATCCCCCTTGTCCCCATTGCCCAGTGCCAGGGCCCCCTCCTACACACGTGTCCTTTCCTGACCCCCTCAGGGTTAGGGTTAGTGCTTAACTCTCTCTCTCACACACACACACACACACACACACACACACAAACACACACACACACACACACACAATCACTTTGTATACATTCTAGACTTCCCTTGGCACCTGTCCCTTCCCCTTGGTAAATTGAAAGTTTGAGGCAGGGGCTGTTTTCATTTTTGTCTGAAGCCTCAGCCCCTGAGAAGCAACAAACCCAGGGTAGTGAATAGAGATCTGACCTCAGTCCTGGGAAGCCCTGGGTTCAGGCCCCAACCTGACCCTCTCATTGCGCTGGGCCAGAGAGGTCAGATGGGTCCCACAGCACTCCTGAGCAGGATCTGAACTAGATTGAAGTATAGGTCTTCTTTTATTTTAATGTGTTGATGTATTCCTAAAGAAAGAAATCCGTAAAAAATGGTTTCCTAAGGCCACATGCAGCCTGCAGGGAGCCTTAAGCACGTGCAGTGGCCCTTGTTTCTGTCTGGTGTTGACCCCCTGTTCTCCACGACTCTCTTAAGACTGTAAGCTGCAGAGAGGAAGCCGGCCTACATCTGTAGATGATGTTTCCTTCTCCAGGGGCTCCCGATACCAGGGAAACCCCAGACCTTGTCTTAGCCTCCAACCCCTGGTCCCTAGCACAGTGCCTGACCCACAGCTGGAGCTTAATAAAGGTTCCCAGCCTGAGATGCCCGCCGGGTCACAGAGTAACTCTCATTGGAAAGGGGCATCCATCTATGGGACAGAACTGAAGCCTGGCAGATGAATCCTGTCTGTGTGGGAGAGGCCTGATGTCTATGGTTGTTGTTTTATAAAGATTCACCAGCATCGCAGATTGACAAAGGCTAAGTCCCACCACGGCTCTGAGGAAGAGAGGAGGAAACGGAAGATCTTAGCCCGAAAGGTGAGAAGGGTGTGGGTGGTGTGGCCTCCCGGGCTGGACAGTGTGGACAAGGAAAGGGTCTCCTTGGGTGATGGCAGCTTTCTCGGCAAGTCTGCGTCAAAGGTTCTGGTCCTCACGGCTCAGGTGACCTCCGAAGCCCTGGTTTGCAGCCTTTATTTTTTTACAAATTGCATGAAATCTGCAGGAAAACGAGCTGTCTCCCTCCTGAGTCCATTAGTCCACTTTCACCCTTTAGGTTTTGTGTGTGTGTGTGTGTGTTTTACTTTAATGAATCACATTCAATACAATAGCAGATCCTTCTCACCCTGTGAGAATCTTATCCTTGCCTTCCCATAGAGCAACAAAGCTCTATGAGACCGTGGGACAGAAAGGAAGAGTGCTGGATTTGGAGCCAGAGGACCCAGGTTCAAATCCTGCCCTTGCTCCTTAAGACATTAGAGAGGTCACCTCTTCTCTGAGTCCATTGACTACTCCCTAAAAGGAAGGGGTTTGATTGGATCACAGGTTCTTAACTTCTGTGGGGGTGTGTGTGTGAAAGAGAGAGAGAGAGAGACCCACCGGGCAATATGGCAAAGCCTATGGACCCCACCTCAGACTCACTTTTAAGTACACAAAATAAAATCCCCAAGATTACAAAGAAAATCAATTATATTGAAATATACACACATTATCATGTGTGTTATCAAAACACGCACAAATAACTATGTTAAAAACAAACAGGCCCCATGTTAGGAACCTTGAATTAGATGATCTCTAACTCCATAAGGACCAGATGCCTCAATCGATGCAAAAAATACTAGAATTTTACTTTGAAATAACATTTTCCCCATTATCTATTTTCTTTGCTTCTGGTTTTAAAAAGTGTATCAATTGATGCAGCTTGATCTTCCAAGGTATTCTTAAATGTTGGGCCTTTGGGTGCCAAGATGCCCAAGTCCAGAAGCCTGCTGGGTTTTAGTCTTCTTAGACATGTAAGGAAGGCCACGTAGGACCTTGTCTGTTTTAAATCTGCCCACTGCTTCAGCCTGTTTGCTCATTCCTTCCTTTTTCTGCCTTTTCTTTTTTAAAGAAATCAAAGCGCTCTGCATTTGAAAGCAGTGAAGATCAGACGGCCAAATACAGCAACTCCAATAATTCAGGTAACTTATCAGAGAGCCCATCAGCCTGGGCCTCGCCTACTGTGGCCTTGAACCCAGTGGAGGAAGGGAGCTCCCTAGCCAGCCAAGGCCTCTCTGGCTCTCTCATTTCTGAAGATGGAGGTGTACGGGAATGACAAATTAAGGCACAAAATAGATTTGAATAGTCAAGTAAGCCTTCTCACACAGTTGAGAAGAGTATGTTCTGCAGCTTCTCAACTGATCTGAAGAGCTGGTTATCAAAAAATAGAGCTTTGCCAGAGGGTCTCTAGTCAAGTGTAAGGACATAGCACGGCTGGGATTGACACGTGGAGTCTGGGAAGAAAGGGGGCTTGTTGGCACAGAAAATGGGAATCTGATCAATGTGAACGAGGAGAGTCATTGCGTGTCTTGAAAGAGCAATGAAATTCTCATTTGTTTGAGGGGGGAATGATGGGGTTGGGATCTGGACCCCAGAAAGGAAAAGCCCTGGACTTTCCCACGTGGCCCAATCTCTGGCGTTCCCCTGAGGCTGTAATCTCATCAACTGGCCTTTCATTGTGGCTGTGCCCAATCTGTTACCCTTCATCTAGCCAAGACCTCCCTATGTCCCCCGGCCACTTCTCACCCTTAATCCTATCTAGATTCCATTCTCCCTTGGCCACCCTGGAGTTCTGTTACCTCATAGACTATTTGGCCACTCCTAGATCCCTCCCATAGTCTTTCTGTGTATAAGGTCCATCTTGTCTCCATTAAGATCCTCAGATTCTTATAATCTAGCCCCTGCTGAGATTCTTGAAATCTAGCCATTGCTGAGATTCTTATAATCTAGCCAATAACTCACTAACATTCAGACTCCTTTAGAGTCTGCCCAATGTGACGGATGTTCTAATAAACCTTGTCTTTGGCTGGGAAAAAAAAAAAGAGCAGTGAAATTATGGAAAGGTGGACAGCCGAAAGATGGGCACTCAGTTGGAGAAATAGGCGAGGGCCTGGGCGATCTCCAAACTGGACAGTCATCCCTGAGTAATTGGGGATTTACCATAACATCAAGTGCCAGAAAAAAGCATCTCTCTGTACAAAACAAAATGGAAGTCCTGCTCGAACTGCAAGCGCACCCACTTGGGCTCTGGGGAAAAACTTTTTTTTTTAACGCAGTTGCATTCTGATGAGGTGCCATAATTGCTCTTCCCATTTATTGGTATTGCCTCAGGAGTAACCATTGCTGCAGGAAGAAATAGCACTCTTCGTTGCATAGGCTACTGAAACTTGCCCAAAATTGGATGGATGGACAGATGGGAAGGTGGTTAGACAGATGGATGAATGACCAACTGACTAAATGAATGAAAGAAAATAATTTATTAAGCACTTCCTATGTGCTAATCACCACACTAAGTGTTGAGCATACAAATACAAAAGCAAGAACAAGTCCCTGCCCTTAAGAAGCTTACGTTCTAATGGGGGAAACAACACAAGCCGAGGGCTGGTGACCAAGGAGGAGCCCTTTGGATGATGAAGGAAATTATAGGGATGGTGAGTGGGGCTCTAGGAAAGTGGTCTGACACATACCTCCAGGAATAATGGCAGAATCGGTTTGATCATGGAAATGGATTTTAAAAGGGGCCAGACCCGAAGGAGCAATGTAATGCAGGGAGAAGTGGAGTCTGGCAATGAGCAGTTTTCCCTGAATTTTCTGAATTCTGTCAGTGAGCAGAGAGAGTAGATAATCCTCATTGGTGTTCTTGGCTAATGCTGACTTTTCCGTATCCTTCTTTAGTTGATGTGAGACTCTTTCTTTTGTCTTAGCAGGATCTGGGGCAAGTTCTCCACTGACGTCCCCATCGTCTCCAACCCCGCCCTCGACGGCAGGTGAGTGAGTTGTCAAAAGTATAAGTGTAACTACTCATTCTCAATCATGGGGACGGCAGCTCAGCTGAAGATTGTGTTATTCCATGAGGAGAAGGAAGTGTCTGAGCAAGAGAGGACTGTTATTGGGAAGCAGATGGTATTTGAATGTAAATATGGTTCAAGTTTGCAGTGACCAGTTGGTCTTCCATGTCGTATTTCGATACGCAATATGAGCCTGACTGACCCAATTATTTCTCTCCTGTGGATAATGGAGATGTGTTCCACGAATGTTCCTGGGACATTCGGTGGTCTTCAACTCATTGCCTTGGTGATGAATTTTGAGATACCCTATGTCTGCACGTGATGGAAGTCTCATCATTGTTACCCAAGGACTTGATCTTCCAACTGCCACCTTCAAATACGTTCCACCATTTTTTATTCCTACATGTAAAGTTATTACCAACGACTTAGACATTTAACCACTCACAACTGGTCAAGTGCTCGTTGCTGGCACTTAGTTTGGGAAGTTTTCCATTCGGAATAAATCTTCTGCTTCTGGCCCCTGATTTATAGTAACGATGACTCCATACTGATGTGGTAGTTTTTCAGTTTTCAGCCAGTGTGGCCTAGATATAGGTTTCCTCTAATCCAGGGTTTCATTATGTCAGCTCTTCAGTTTCTAATTTCTCAAGGAATAAGCCAAATCCTGTGCTGGGTTTTGCCCTCCTGAGTTTGCCAGTCAGCATCTTCTGATAGTTCTTATGAACAGAACTAGCTGAGCAGTCAAGTCAGTTAATAAACATTCATAAAGCACCTATTATGTGCCAGGCACTGTGCTAGTTAGAGATACAAATACAAAAAACAGTGACAGTCCCTGCCCTCAAGGAGCTTACAATCTACTGGGGCAAGAGCACCCTGGAAGGTGGATGCAAAGCTGGTGAGCTGAGCTGTCTTCCCTAAAGGAGGTTCTGGAGTTTCTGGCCCCACTGTCGAGTCAGAGAGGCAGAGGGTAGAGCCCAAGGCTGATGGGATCTCGTAGGATGCTGAGGTCGTCCTAATGGTGAGGTTCCTGGAGTGTGGTGGAAACGTCAGAGAATTCTCACGTGAGAAAACAGATAATTATCTTAAAATGTCTCTGAACTCATTTCTCCCACTGTCCCCCACCCCTGTCTGAATGAGATTAGATTGATTATACCAAGGATTTTGTGTGGAAAATACAAGGGGCATTTAGCTTTTAGAAATTGAATGATATTGAGCACATAGGTATCTTTAAAACTTTACGGTATTTGTAGCACCCCTAGTTACACCCACAAGTTGGATTCCTTGAGGGCCAGCTGCCCCAGGTTCAGGATACTCTGGGTCTGCCCTCCTAAAACTGTGGCTCCCAAGCGTGCTTACCCTTCATAGTCAGGGGACACAACTCCTAGCCTAGCAGTCAGCACAGCAAAAGCTGGCATGGCCTTAGAAGGAGAATAATAAACACCCCCACTTCCCCCACCTGGGGTGCAGGGATCCTTTCGCCACTACACGTGCTGTGACTGAGGAGTGGGCCGGCACATCTCTGGAGAATAGAGGGTACTTGTAGAGAGCGGTACCCAGGGAGCGTGGCTTTCCTCAGTGGCTTTCCCCGTCTTGTGGGACCCTCTCGCTGTCTCCCTGGGCCCGGCTTCTCTTCTAGATGTCACATACCTCGGCTCCTGGGTTAGCTCTACTCTGCAGCTCTGTCCTTGACCGCCAGGGCCAGCTCCCTTTGGACCCACAGAGCTGGTAGTGACTGACCAGGCCCACTAGGCAGGTAGCTGCTGTGGCTAATGGGGGGGGGGCGGTTAATCCCCTCCTTCCCCCCACCCCCATGAAACAAGGAACACTTCCCTCTCGAGGCCCGGCTTCTCCGCCCAGAACTGCCAGAACTGTCCTGTACTCAGAGCCCCTAGAGAGGCTCGATCCACACAGGGCAGGGCTCCCAGGGCTGTTGCTAGAGGCCTTCTTATTCCATCAAGTTTAAGCGGAGAGCTTTTCCCACCTCCATGAAGGGGTAATAAAGTGTTAACACTTTTTTTACCCTTCACTTTAAGAACTAAAATACCTCCTTGTCTCTGTTCCTGCTCCTTACTTTCTAGAATTTCATCGATTTGGCCGGACTAGGGCAGGGGGCCCTTGTCATCCCCCCCCCCCCCCCCCCCCCACTCCACCTAATGTAATAATCCCACCTCAGTGTGTTAAGGGATCTCACGGAAGTGCTTGGTTACTTGGTCCAGCTGCCCCTCCCCCTCCCAGGTGGGTTCCCATCCTCACCCCCCAAAGCCTCCCTCTGGGGCTCTGCCTCTGCTTGAGGCCCTCTCCAGTTCTCTATCTCTTCAGCCTTATCTGTTCTGCTCCTCACCAGATACCCTGTGCTCTGGTGATAGGAGCGGAGATGGAGAGCCAGAAGGGACCCTGGAAGCCACTAAGACCAGCCTTCTCATCTTACAGGGAGAGAAGGGGAGGCTGAGAGAAGGGTGACATTGAGGGACTTGCTGTCCACCCCCCTCCCTTTCCCAGGCCCCCACTCCACGCCCCTGCTCCCCTGCCTTCGTCCCTTTGCTCCTCCTCCTCCCTATGCCTTGAGTGATCGTTCTCTATCGATGGCCCGATTCCTCTCAAATGCCCCCTCCTTTGGGAAGCCCCTTCCCACAGTACCCAGCATTTTGCTGGTAACGCCGGTCCAGCGGGCAGCTCTTATTCTGTTCTCAACAACAGAGCTCTTCAGCCCCCCAATTCCAGATCCCAGCTTGGGTCCTTCGGTCCTCCAAAGCCAGCAGTGATTCACGTGATGGGTCCTTTTTGTTCTCTCCCTCCCCCACCCAGCGGTCAGTCACCAAGCATTCATCAGGTGTCTGTGTGTCAGGCACTGTGCTGGCCCTAAGAGGGGGAGGAGAATTGGGGCAGGTAGGCAGGGAGCTTTTACTGGAAGCTTTGCTGTGAAGGGGAGGGGGGAGAGAGAGCATTAGTGCGAGGGGATGCGAGGACAGTGATGCATCTCTAAATAAAGTGTCTTCATGGACACCGGGTATGCTTTTCATCAGCCAGTCAAGAGATATTCCCTGCTGGGTTCACGATTAGGGAGATGCATTTATGCAGCAAGAACTAGCATGTGGATGCTCCACGAAAGAAAAAAAAAACCTCCATTTCCTCTCAAGTAAGACACTGGCAGAGCTTCTTAATCTGGGGTCTGTGAACTTATTTTTTAAATATTTGCGGAGCTATAGTTCAGTATCATTGGTTTCCTTCATAATCCCGTGGGTTTTATTTAAAACCTATTTTAAATTTTAAAATTTAAAATCTATTCTACGGAGGGTCTAGAGGCTTCCCTGGCCTGCCCAAGAGTCCCAGTTATGAAGGGCTTTGAATGCCAAGTAGAGGTGATTCTTGTTTACAGTAGGGGATGACACAGTTGGACCCGCTTTAGGAAAATCCCTTTGGCGACTGAATGGAAGCAGGCAGGCTGTAGATGAGGGCCTGCACTAGGGGCGGTGTCAGAGGACAGAAGAGGGGGATGTATGAGAGAGAAATTGCAAAGTTGATATCAACAGGCCTTGATGCCCGATTGAATGTGGGGGGGTCCAGGATGACTCCTAAGGTGTGAGTTTGGAAAGGAGAAAGACTTGGGGGGAAAGATAATGAGTTCAGTTTTGAACATCTGGGTTGAGATGCTTAATAAATAGGCAGTTAGAGATGCAGGACTGGAGATCAGCAGAGAGGTCGGTGCTGGGGAAGCAGGTTTGAGAATCATCAGCAGTCACGGTTGCTGTTCAGTCATCGCCTTCTCCAGCTCATTTTACAGATGAGGAACTGAGGCAAACAGGGTGAAGTGACTTACTCAGGAGTCACACAGCTGGTAAGTGTCTGAGGCCAGATTTGAACTCGGGAAGATGAGTCTTCCTGACTGCAGGCCTGTGCCACCTCGCTTCCCTCTTCAGCAGTACAGATGCTAATTGAATCTGTAGGAGCTGATGAGCTCACCAAGTGAAATGGTTTAGGAGGAAGAGAAGAAGGCCTTTGGGGATCCCCAAATCAGTAGGGGTGAAATGGATGAAGATCCAGCAAAGGAGACAGAGGAGTGCTCAGATAGTGGGAGAGAGTGATCAGCGGTGTCAGGCTGCAGAGAGGAAGGATGAAGATTGAGAAAAGGCCATTGGATTTGCCACCTAAGAGATCCTCGGTAACTTTGGAGAGTGGGGTTTGGGTGGAATGATGAGGTCAGAAGCAGGATTGATTGTAGAAAGTGAGAGGAAAGGATGTGGGAACCTCCGTTGTAGGTGGCCTTCTCAAGGAGTTTAGCCTCAAAAGAGAGGGGCACGGTCATTATCAGGGGTGGAAGCCACAAGGAAGGGGCTTTTGAGGATGGGGGAGACATGAGTGTGATTATGAGCAGAGGGAAACAGCCAGCAGAGAGCGCGTGGGACTGATCTCGGGGCATTCTACTGGATGAGGCAGGAAGGGAGGGGCTCACCAAAGTCTGAGGAAGGATGCAGAGGGAGGTCCTAGAGGTGTAAAAGGCTTGCCTTCACTGTAGATCTCCTGCCTTCTCCCCAGCCCCAAGACTAGCAGTTTCTGCCATGCTGTTCTTCTGATCTCTGTGACTCAGGACTGTTTTCCATCTCCCACCTGCTAGACCCTCATTCCTGTACAGCCCAGCCTGACCCTACCCACAGCTGCTGGATCCAAGAATCTTAGTCAAGAGGCCCCCAGGGGCCTGATAAGAGGAGGCCCACCAGCTGCCTATTCTAGCCCTGCTGTTGGCCAGCTGCGTGCTCTCAGGCCTTGTTACTCGCCTGGGTCTCTGTGTCCTCCTCCATAAAATAGAGGGCTTGATTGGACCTGGTGGCTGCTGGACTCCCTTCCAGTTCTAAATGACATCTGTAATCCTCTTCTGACCCTGAGGGGAGTCCGTGGGCCCCTGGAGTGCTTTTGTTGGCGCTTTCATTGTTATGTCAGCAAGCTTTTTCTTACATCTGGCTTCTGTGTGCTTCTCTCGAACC